TATATATATTTGTTTAACTCTATCGCTCTACAGTAGAACCTAATGAGCTCGCGTACTAGAAATTCTTAATTAATTGCGAGCATTGTTTTTGTTGTTGTTGTTTCCTTGAAGTTAAGCCCAAAGCTACACAAAGGGCTATCTGTATTCTGCCCACCACGGGTATCGAAACCAGGTTTCTAGCGTTGTCAGTCCGCAGACATACCGCTGTCCCAATGGGGCAATTGCAAGTAATTTTGTTGTGGAAAAAAGTTAGTGCTTACAGTTATAGAAACCGTACTCTCTTTTTCCAACCAGAAAGTGATCTTTTTTTCTCGACATTAAACCCACGTGAAAATATTGAATTATTAAAAATCATTAAACAATACGAAAACTTATGTACACGTTTACTGGCTTATTGATATAAAATTTCCGCATAATCTGGAAGGAACATCTAACATCTTGTCCAGTTCAACTTGAAGCGGTTTTGATCCAGAGGATGAGACTAAAACAAGAAAGAAGAAACCAAGGTTTTGTAAACTTGGATTCCAACTTAGACAAAAAACGTATTTGTGAAATTTGTAACAAGCTATGTCGCTTTTGAATTGGGCTTGCCAGCTACGAACGGACTCATCAGGCACCTGGCTAGACCTCTTCTGTGTATACCAAGATCCCGAGAATTGACGGTTGCCAATGCAATGCAATGACATCAAATAAAGTAACTGGAGAAAATGAATAATGATACTAAATATCTAAGTTTTCAGTTCATCTGTGATCGCAAATTCTTTCAAAAATGGTTTATTTTGTGGTAAAGCTATTAAGGCTATCTGTTACCGTCCCTAATTTTGAACCACAGGTAAGGCAGCGGCAAACATATTCCACTGCAACTCTTGAACTGCTCTTTACCAACAAAATTCGGAATAAAACTTTAAGAATAGTAGATGTGTGTAAAATTTCCAAACAAATTATATCAAACGTTTAGGGTTATTAATGTCTAATTTAGTACTTTTTGGTATTTTTTCGTAATACAAAAAACTTAAAAGAAATCAGATAAAAACTTGCTGTCGTAAACTTAATTAAATTATATATTGTTGGTTCTTCAACTCACTTCATTTATTTATTCGTGGTCTAACTGTATGCTATTTAGCTCTTTGTTTTACTTTTCGTACAGATAATTTATATGTTTTTACTCAATAAAAACGTAGTAGCTTATATTTAATCTTTTATGTTATCACATTACATGTATAATTAGTTTTTTAGCTCTTCATAGTTTGACGGATTGTGTACGTCTTTTTAAGTGTAGCGTTGAAGAGTTTAGTTTAAGGCTTTTCACTAGTAGTAGAATATTAGGGTTAGGCCTATTGTGAATTAAGAGTTATGACTCGGGTTCTTTACTAAAATTTTTAAACGATAAAATAAATGACGAATGTGAGTTTTAAAGAACGTTTCTAAACTTAATTTTTCAGTTTTAACTTTTACATATAGTTATAAACTTAGTTATGTTTAGAAGATATTTGTCTGAATGAGCGCCAATAATCATATTCTACTGCTGTGTACCACTACTATTACTAGATCTCATGACTTAAGTTCTAACCTATTCTATATTCATTGTTATTTTTAGAGTATTAACGTTTAAGGTAATGTCGATTTAAAAAAAGGGTGGGTGTGCAAGAAGAGACTTAAAGGACCAAATGGTCCCTTGTTGTCTTTCAGTTGTTTAACATAAACCACTATTTCAATTTTAACCTAATAGTAGATGAATCTATGGTAGTGAGTCACTCAATAAGAAATCATAATGTGGCTAAGTTTTATATATATGCAATTCTGCATTCTTATATTAATATTGTCTATTTTGTGTCAACTGTTATAAATACCTGTTTTGTACACTAACAATAAAATCACAGAAAAGTTATGGGCTTTCATATTCCTTCAGTATTCTTTTTGTTTCAAATGAGTTATACTAATCATCAATATTTTATTTAACTTTTGGCATTAAATGGGGGCAAGATCATATATGTTTAACTGCAGTATATTGACCTTCTAAACCTATGTGTTTGATCTATATATAACTATTAAATTTCTTAGTATATATATATATTTATATATATATATATAAAGGGGGAAGTAATCTTTTTAAACAGTTATTTGATTAAATCAAATCAATAATGTGTACTCGATTGATTAGATATACATATATATATATTTATATAATTAATCTTCTTGTATATGGAATTTCCACATGTATTAATATTTAGAATAAAAGATGTATACATACACAAGTTTGTTGACAGCATCCATGCTGTCCAGCATATAGTTGTGCATAATTTTGTATCTGTGTTTGTAAAGAGAAGCTGAAAAGATATTGATTAACAAATCTTATTGAAAGAATACTCTGTGCCACTATAGCGTGCAGTCTACACAGATACTATCATCATCACAGTTTTAATGATTCACTAAAACTTAATTTTTGCTAAATAATTTATATATATCCACGTTTTCATTAAATAAATAATAATAATTTAATAAGTTGTGTGTTCCAAAACAGTACCTTAAATTTAGGTTATAACTGTGCTAGTTTTGTTTGAATTTATTTATTTCTGAGTATATTTGCCCCAAAAATGTAATGTAATTGTATATTGTACGTTATTAGTTTAAAAGCATTATTTATAATAAATGACACCAATTGCAAATAAACAAAAGTTAAAACGGTGATGATGATGATGATAGTATCTGTGTAGACTGCATGCTATAGTAGCACTGAATATTCACCATATTTTTTTCTGATTCTTGAACAAAGTAAAAGACTAATTTGTTGTAAGTATTACATTTATGTTTTCTTAACTATTTAGGACTGCATGTTTTATTGAACAGAGGAAAAAGTGACTGGTATTTATAAATACCATTATGTCTAGTAAAGTGAAGAGAAAGGTCACAGTAGAGAACAGTAAAAGCAGCAAAAATAAAAGCCAAGAATCTGAGGAAGTGCCTAGAAGACCAAGTGTATTTGAACGTTTAGGAACTGTATCATTGAGTTTAGGTTTGCCTTCTCAAGACAGGCATTCTAAGGCTGATGCGCTAGAAAAGTGTCACAATTGGCTGAGAACTGGGAACTGCTCTTATGGTGAGACGTGCCGTTACCAACATGGACCTTACAGTAGTGGTTCCCGTGGAAAGTCTGAGAAAAAAGATATAGCTGAAAAAGATCTTCGTCACAAGGTAAAAAGCAAACGAGAAGATAAAGAATCTGTGGGTGGTGGTGGTGGTGGCTCTAACTCCCCTAAACCAAAAAATATACCACAGAGTGTAAGTCGTAATAGAAAAGGAGAGCAAGAGAATAAGATAAAGTCTACAGTTGTAGTGACTCGACCCAGATCATCAGCAAGTGATGGTGAGGAAAGAGAAAAAGATAAAGGAAGAACAGGAACTTGGGAAGATGATTCTGATGATTGGCCTCTTGATGCATCTCAACTGGACTATAAAGAAGAATTGACTTTAGAAATGAAACGTCAGCAGTTACAACGAGAGCTGGAACTAGAACTACAAAAAGAACGAATGATGAATGAGAATGTGACCATTACCAAGACTGTAGCATTCAATGGAAGCAGTGGAAGTAGTAGTGACAGTGACAGTGGTTCCAGTAGCTCAAGTAGCTCTAGTAGTAGTAGCAGCAGCAGCAGTAGTGATGACAGTGATGGTGAGGACAATAGTTCATCATCTTCCTCATCATCATCATCAAGCCATTCAGAACCTCCAACAAGAGGTAGGAAAAAACAGGTCAAAGAAAAAACCAAGCAGAGTGTACCTAAGCGCCAAGTCTCAAAAGAAAGACCTAAAAGCCGGGAAAATAGTAGTTCTCATAAAAGTAGTCTTGCAAAGCAGTTTTCTTCATTTTCACATTCTTCTGACACCAGGGCAAAAAAAAGACACGAAGAAGTTCCTTCTGTAAAACAGCAAACAAAAACGGAAGAATCCAAATTTCGAAAACCATCTGAAGGAAAACAAGTGAAAGGCCCTCGAACTCCAAGTCCGTTTCAAGGTAGGAAAAATACAAGTAGGCAGCATGATGATCGAAATGCATTAAATAGTTCCAAAGAGAGACTTAAAAGAAACAAACGTAAAAGAAAACGTGATCAACAGAATGAAAGAAGACAAGATATCCCAACTAGTTCAAATACCTTGCATGAAAAAAAATTTAAAAGTCATCATGAGAAAGAAAATCAGCCCAGAGATGATGCTTATATTTCTCGAGATCGAGGTCGTGGGCATCATTCTCCACTCTCTCATCCTGAAGATCGTCAACGTAAGTCATCCCCTGTCAAAGGAAAACAAGAACGTGGAGATAAGCGAAAACTATCTTCTCCTGTGGAGGCAACTTTGAATAAAGATAGAAAGAACAAGTATCATCAAGAACAAGTTGAGTCTGAACGAAAAAGATCATATCACTCAGAAGAAACTTCTAAAAGACCAAGATCACCTGAAGAAGAAAATGAACGCTTTTCAAAAAGAGCAAGAAAGATGTCACCGAGGAATGAACCTTCTCATTTAAAAGATACTTCTCAGAAAGAGAAAGGAAGAGAAGCAAGTAGTAAAAGAAAGGGAAGTCATCGAGAAGAAAGAAGCTTAGAAGAAATTGACAATAGATACAGACTGTCTTCTCCTTCACAAGATAGACAGTCAAAGGACAGGCGAAAACATGACTTGGGTATTTCAAGAAATAGAAGAGAGCTTCCACCAGAAATCAGAGGATATGAAGAATTACCTGAATTAGGACAAAAAAGAGAAGATTCTGAAAGTAGAAGAAAAGAAGAGTTTGATCGAAGAGAGCATATTTTGCCAAAAAATGAGGGTGGGGGAAGAAATTCCAGGTTAAAAGAAGAGAGAGATATAAAAGATAGAGATTTTGAAATTGAATCCAAATATAGAGAAGAAAGGAATTCAAGACATGGATTTCCAGCAAGTTATAGAGGCTTTCAAAGTGAAATGTCTCTTCAGCAAATAGGAAATGAAAGGAGAGAGAATTGGAATGATAGAAACAATGAGAATAGACAGAGATATAAAGAAAATAATCGAACAAAAGGTAGAGATAACTTAGAAAAAGCTAAAGGCTTTTCACCAAGACTTGATTTTCATTCAAAAGGAAACTCCCCCAATCCCCAGCATAGATTAATAAGTGATTTTGATTCACACATTTTTGAAGAAGATTACAGAAGATTCTCCCCAAACCAACGGCATGGTGGTCATGATCTCCGCCAAGAGCAGTTATTTCCTCCTGATTTGAGACATGAGCATGATCTGTTCATGGAACCTACTTTTGGTAGGGAACCTTTCTATCCAGATGGAAGGGAAAGGAATAATTGGCAACCTCGGATGCCCAGAGATTTATATGAACCTTTGCCAGAACGAAAAGTTGGTGGCAAAAGACGAGAAGAGAGAATGTATCATCAAAGACGAGAAAAAAGACCAGTTACTCCTGATTTCCCAACAGTATTGAGTGTAAGAGATGACCCTCTTGTAACTATTGAAAAGAGGCCTCCTTCAAGAGAGACAAAACTACCTAGATCACCAGGCAGAAAACATCGTGATAGCTCTCCTGCTAGTCATGGTAGCTGGGATCGGGGAAGTTGTTATAGTAGTAGAGGTCGGGACAACCGGCGTGACCAGAAACCTGAAATGAAAAGAGAAGAACAAAAAAGAAGCAGAGAAAGAAGTGATAAAGCATTGGAAGTTGACAAAGGAAAATCTCTCTCGGTTAAATCTTGTTCATCTCCTTTACCTTCTCAAAATATAGAAATAAAAGTTGAACCAGAAGATACCAAAAAACAAGAATCGTCAAAAATACGAACTGTATCTTCACCTAGTCCAAATAGAAGTCCAAAAGTTGTTGCTTCTGAATCAGTTAACTCCATTTCCAACAAAGAGGTTTCTAAAGAAACTCCTTTTAGCCATAATGGTACATGTAATTCTCCTAAGGTGTCTGAAACACTTCCTGTTGTTGAAGAATTTAGTGACTGGAGTGATGATGAGGATGATCAACTCTTAACAAGGAATGATTCGCCTCCTACTAATGAAAAATCTAGATCACCAGAATGGAAATTGAGAGAAGATAACCAAGAGAGAGAAACAGAAGTTCTTGATAGCTGGACCAGTAAAGAAGGTGAAAAAGGATTAGACCATCAAGAACTGGTTGACACTTTAGACTCAAATTCAAGGGAAGGGAGAATGATTGGTGACAGAAGTCCTTTAGATATGGATGAATATAACAACAGTAGAGACCAACCCTGTCGTGATCTGGGAGACTATGAAACTGTAGATAAAGTCAGAACAAGTGAAAGTGAAGAAGAAAGAGGTTTTCCAGAAGAAATGGTTGTTACAGATAGCGTGGATTATGACCCAATAAGTGATGATGAGTTAGAAGCTCTTATAGAAGAACCTGAAGATGAAGAGTCTAAAGACAAAGAACAAAGTGGAGGAATTGTTAATGCACTTGATGTTGATTGGTCAAGCCTAATGAATGAGCAACGTCCTAAATTGGAATTTATTCCTGGTTCAGCTCGCAAAAGGTTCACTGCTGCTCATGTTCTTTCAAGAATTGGATTTTCAGAAGCATTTGCTGGTGCTGAGTTGACTAAGCGATTAGTTGGCTTTTGTGAAAAACAACTGCAAGATGAAGTAACAGAAACAAAAGAAGACCACTCAACCTGCAAGAAAAAACTGTTTACTTTGGAGGCTTCAGTTGCTTCATTTCATGTACTAGCTGCTCAACGAAAACAAGAACGAGCAAATGTTGTTCATGATGTTGGGCCATACAGAAGAGCTCTTTGTGCAAGAAGAGATCTTCAGATTAGGCGGCTTTTGTGCAGATTTACAACCAAGATGGCTGATATTCCCTCAATCTCCTCTTCACGGCAACAGTGTGTGGATAAAGAACTATACAGGTTGAGCGTAAACCTATTCAAGAAATCCAAGGAGCCGACTGTATCAGCAGTTGATGTTTCTGCATAACATCATGCCAATTTCAAGATGTGTTGTATACTCTGTAAATATGTGAGTATTTTGGAAGCCTTTTTATAAAACATATACGTATTTCATCTCATAAAAAGTACTTTCATTTGATATTCAGACCAGTACACAATAGCTATCTTCATACGCAAGCTTTAGTTTGTACTTAAACTTCAGTAAAATTTACCATTTGAATCACAAAATCAGTGGAAATTATGTTACCTTTTATCCACCATTAATTTAAACAAAATAAATAGTGTGTACTATAACACTGTGTCTCTAGCATTTACAGTGTCAGTCACTTGATGGGCTTTACTACATTCTAATATCAACTCTAATTGATATTAAGGAAGAAATACTAAAAAAATTTCCAAAATTTTAAAACCAATTTCAGTACTTTTGCCAAAACAAAGAAAATTTTATCTGTAATATTTTTGTAAAACTGACTTTAAAAATTAAACACATCATAAATTTTTAAACAATGAGTAAGTTACAACTATTGCTTGGTTTGGCAAAAATTATCTTTTTGGAACACAATAGTAACATCTTAATTTGGCAAAATGAAATTTTTGGAAGATGATTTGTCAGTTCATAATATCAAATACTATTTTGTTAGTATGATGATGTATTTCATATCCTTCAAAGACAATATTTGTTCTTTCTCATTACCGTATGTCTGTTTATTGTGTTTTAACATTAACATAAGTCATCTTGTTCATAATATGAAACATTTGGTTTGTTGCAAGTTGGTGTTTAGGAAAGAATGAGAATGTGTTGTCTTTGAGCTATATGTTTGTACATGTACTGTAGGCTAAACATGTAAAAAATTATCTCAGAATATTTCTTTATGCTGGTAAAGTTCATGTTATCAAGTGAAAGAAAAGGAAGGTAATGAAATTTTGGTAACAAAATATTGTAGTTTTGCAATTGTTTCAGTGAAAATTGTATATCATCTGAATCATTAGTTTAGACAATACAGTCATGTCAACACTTGTATTAACACATTCACTTTCACGTCAGCCACATGTGGTGACGTGGGTCAGTATTGTTCAAGCTGCATCGACACTTGCAGCCTATATTCTATAAGATTACACATATTTGCTGAAAGCAGCCTAAGACACATTTAGATGTAGCTTATATAGCTCTGCATTGAAACCTATTTTTAAAAGTACATTTACACTGACCCACTTGTCTAAAAAAAATGACTTTGTATGAACAACTTTTCCTTCTCAAAACACTATTATTACTAATTTATTGGTAGTTTTACTATTTTATTTCATATTATCAAACATTTAGCATTACTTAGGTTCTGGCAAATGGAGTCAGTTGGATATTAGAATCCTTTTTTTTTTCATTGAAATGAAAATGCACATTGAATAAAAAATGACTATCATGAAAAAAAAAAATTAGAAATAATAAAACATATTCAATTCAAAAATTTTCCACATTATTTTTAAAAAAAAATATGTGTTTGACAAACTAATTTTTGTCAACACATTATTGCAAATTTTTGTGCTGTTCACCAAAGTGTTCAAGGCACATATGTAGATTGTTTTGGTAGTTCGGGCAACATGTTGGCACCCTTTTTTTATCTTCTTCTTTGCTTCTGCTCCTCCTACTTCTTTTTTCAAGATTGTAACATGTTTATTAGGTGTGACTGCATCCATTTCACTAAAAAATCCCTTTGGCCTAAGTGAAAGTTTTGGGTAAACCTGCCTTGGCAATGAATGTGTTAATGGAATTTTAAATTAATGGATATCTATGTCATTAAATTTAGACAATTGCTTAGTAATTTGTTGCAGAAAATCATTAAAAGATGACCTTGAGTGTAAACTATTTTTTTGCAAATAAACTGTTGATTAAGTAACCAAAAATGAAAACATGCTACAGCTATGTAATGTATCGTCAACAATACATTTTGTTCAGTATATTGTGTGTATGTATATATATACACCATAGTGTATAGGAAAGTAATAAGTGAATTTTTGAAACAGACACAAGTCTAATGGATGGAATTGCTCAGATATGTTGATATGTCATATAACATAACTCTCATACTAAGGTACATTTACCCTTCCTGTTTTATAGTTTTTACCGTCATTTTATTTGTCTTTGACGTACACACTTTTACTGTTCAGTCTTATTGTAAAAAGTTGTGTGAGTGTATGGTATATGTATACATGTGGTTCTGCCTTATGTTTGGTTGTTTTTTTCATTCAAAAAGTTGTACTTGCATTGCGGAAAGTATTTATCATTAAACTCAGATTCCATCTCACTTTCTACATAAAAATTTTACCAGTGAGATCCTATGTTTTGTATTAGTCCTATTGCAAATTTCTGAACTTTAATGCATTTTATAGTAAATTTAAAATATTTTAAAACAGACAATTTGTGTATTTCTGTTTTTCTTGAAAACCTAACTTCTACTACCTTGTTTGTCCAATTTTACTATGAAAAGACACATTTAATTGTGTATATATCCATACTTATAGATAAAGGTTCTGAAAATCTAGTCTTGGTAATTCGTCTTTAGATACTGCCTTAGAAAAGATACCTTCACAGTAATTCACCCATACTTTTATAACGGCTGTAGTCATGGTAATATACCTATTTCAAAATCTTACTGTACTTTCATAGCTTATTTTGTTAACATACAATATCACAAGATAAAACTGAACTTCAAAGATGGGCTATCTTAATTCCTAGTTCATACAGATATATATATATATATATATAAATATACTTTCAAAGAAGATTTATTTTTTTATTTGCTTCTGTTTTATTAATTTAAATGTTTTGATGATGTAACAACTCATAAGGCTCTAACTACAGTACTGCCCCATTATAATGCTACCATCGAGAGACGTGTACTCGAGAGTGATATAGGTGGGGGAACATTATAACCATCTGGTCAAGAAGGCACTCATGCTGAACACATACAGATTCAACAGACTACTGAAGCAATCGATTAAATATGATAACTGTTTACTTACATAGGGGAATAGATATAAAAATAACATAGATTTGTACCTAAAATATTTTATAAGCGTAAAAATTAATTAGTACGTAATTTGATTCAATAAATAAATGAATAATATACAAATCTAGAGGGCGCTGCACACTCAGCATACCCTCTATACCAATATTTCATGTGTCTAGCGTTTCGTAAGCTTTTTCTCTGGTGAAAAGTGTTCCGTGGCCAAAAAAGTTTGGGAAATGCTGTTCTGTACCATAGTATGAATTACAAGAATTAATGTATTTATGACCAACATTTGAAAGAAATCTTGCTGTCAATTTTATTATTATTTACAGTTTAGGTTTGACAGTGATCTTTGAAGAAGATCAGTACCTCACAGTGAATATTGTACATAATGGAAGTTGGGATAGATTCATAGAAAGTATTTAATTAGGTTTCCTTTCCTACAAAGATAAATCTGACATTTTATTTGTGGAGTAGGGTGATGCATTTTGGCTACATGTAGTTAACATTTATTGTTCCCAATTTTTTCAGAACAGCCAAGAACGAAGGAGTTAAGGCTGAAGGAGTATAGTCACAGAAATGGAAGATAGGAAGCATTGGCAAGAGTGTGTCTGTATTGACTGGATCTCCAGTTTTTCTTTAAAACATTTTGTATTATGAATTGTTTATGGAAATACTTTAGTTAAGGAATGTTAAGCTTATTATCATACATAATGACATCGGATTATATACTGATACAGTACTACAGAATTTATAATTGTGATTGGTATTTATTTTTTGTCACTACTAGGTATCATACTCAATTGCAGGGATTTTAAAGGACAGATACAATGTAACAATAGTACTACCAAATGATTTTTTAGATATCCCCCCAAAAAAAGATTTATTTTTGCAAGGATTGCTGGTGTTCATTTCAGTAATTCTTAGTTATATATATATATAACCAAAGAAGTGAGCTTAAAAACATTTTTTTAACATTATTCACTAGGTATTAATGAACAAAAAAGAATAAAATCAGCTTAACATAATGTGTACTGTATATGGTGTTGTATGGAATAATGGTAACTGTCATAAAATTTTGTGTTCAGAAGTCTCATTTTAAAACTACCCGATATGTTTCTTATTTTTAAACATGGTTTAACAGTACTTGTATGATTTTGTACATGTATCTAGGTAGCTGAGGCATCACACACCATTCATATTCCTGTTCATTCAGTTTATTTTCAGGCCTGTAGTCAGATAAGGGGACATAGATCCTGGTCTCTCCAAAATTGCTCTATTTTAATTCTTTGCTGAAATTGTATATTTCTAGATTGGTTTGGTTTGTGATAGCATTTTCATTATATGATGGTAAAAGGTAAATTTTTATTTGGATATTTAGGTTTTCTTGAACTTTTTAATTTTTGTACATCTCTGAGAAAAACATTTTGTGTAAGAGTTGTTGTAAATTGAATGCTCTTTCTAATTAAGCAAAATCATAAAATTTTCTAAAGGTTTGTATATTAATACTTGATTCAAGTAGTTTCCATTTACTTAAATTAGTTGTTACGTATTGCTTCATAATAGAGGTGAAAACTAAAAAAACTACCGGCATTAATTAGGAAACAAATGTATTTTCACATAATTTACTGTTGATTTGCATAAAGCAATTGTTATATTTATGTAATCAAATTTTGAAAACTCAGTCACATTAGGATGGTCTTTACATTAATAAAATTTCCTACTCCAAATTTATCAACTTTAGCTCCACAATAAAAAAAAAGTTACATACTTTCTCATTTGGGAGAAAACGAGCTTAATTTAGATATATATTGAGTAACGTTGGTGTCATGAGAGCTGGAATCAATTTGATGTTTTGCAGAAATTAAATTATAATCTATCAGATGTAGTATTATATTACAGCTGGTTTCCCTCAGGCTAGAATATGTAAAATTTCTATACATAATATTTCTCTACAAAATTTGTGCACAACTTTTTAAAGCCATTTCTATATCACTTCACTGAAAATTAAAGATATCGTAAATCCACAAAAATTTCTTTCTACTGTATGTTTTAAAACTTTCCAGAATGTTAATCATGGCCTAGGTTTAAAAAAAAAACGTGTGTTAAACTGAAATGTAAAAAATATACTTCCATTTACATTTTGTGTAATTAGGTGTTTTCATTTAAAAAGTATAATTTTTAGAATACATTTGTTATATCAGACTGTTTTATTTTGTAGTGATAACAGTCTATTATCTAAATCAGTTTTTTTTTTACTTCAGTTGCAAAGTAAGATATCTAATATGCAATGATAAAAAATGAATTTTCAGTTTTATTTAAAGCTACAATTTGCAAGATTTCATTCAAGTAACATGCTTTTTATTAATAAATTTTGAAAATATAATATATAAGTTTAGCAAGTTGATGTATTGCAGCTTAGAAAATATGCAAACTTATATTAAAATAACATGTAAAACACAATATTGCTGTTACATGTAAATAATCTGTACAAGAGAAAAAATGTATGGTAAGCTTCTTTTTATTAAAGAAATTAAAGTGTATAAGTACAAAATATTTGTTTGGATATTAAATTCGGAAAATATTACTACAATTACTTTTGTGCATGAATTAATAACTGAAGATTGTAAATTAAAATGGTTTTGATTGGTAGTTGTGTGTGACATACAAAAATAGAAAGTGTGTACATATCTGTGAGTTACTGGCTGAGCTTAATTTCTTCCAGATCAATCAAAACCTGCAACTTTTTCTGTTTGTAAAGAAGAAAAAAGTATATGTGTTTAAATGCCATTACAAAATATGTGGCTTGTAAATGAATAAGCTTAAAAATGGTTATTAATAAAAATGCCAAACTGACAACACAGTTCCTTTTTCATATGGATATTAAACTCTTGTTTGTAGTTAAATATCATTACAAGCTTCCATCTTGTAACCATTAACCACTACTATGTCTGTCATATTCTAACCAGACTGATAAGACTTGATATTGAGTGAAGGCCTCTTCAATATGGCCTGGTGGTTAGGGTGCTCGACTCGCGATCTGAGGGTCGCGGGTTCAAATCCCCTTCCTACCAAACATGCCCACCCTTTCAGCCATGGGGGCATTATAAAGTGATGGTCAATCCCACTATTCGTTGGTAAAAGAGTAGCCCAAGAGTTGGCGGTGGGTGGTGATGACTAGCTGCCTTCCCTCTAGTCTTACACTGCTAAATTAGGGATGACTAGCGCATATAGCCCTCGTGTAGCTTTGCACGAAATTCAAAAACAAACAAACAAACAAGCCTCTTCAACACTGGATGTAGTAGATGTAGTATGGTTGATGTACTTTTGCATTCTTCGTTACACCACTAATAAGTTCTTATAATTAGACTAACAACAATTTGTTGTATCTTAAAATATGATGTATAAAAACAAGAAAAAATGTGCTTTTTATTTGTCTTTAAGCCAAATATAAAAAGTAGAATCATAAATAATATCAACAGTTTGTTTCTAAGTGTCAGTGTACTGCATTCTGTTTTTCTGATACACTTATAAACAAACTATTTAATTAAGATTTTGTAACATTTTCCCTCAAAATTTTGAATATGTTGTTACACTTTCTAAATTCAGTATTATAAGTTTAAATTGTCAATATTATTTTAAGATTAATTTGTTAAACTTTTATTTGTATATACAATATTTTATCACATTGAATAAAACAGTTGAAAACATATATTGAAGAACTATCAAGATATCTGGACTAAATGAAAAACAGGTGTAATAATTATATATATATATATATATTGTGTGTGTGTGTGTGTGTATATATATATATATATAAAGTAGTACGTTTACTTAAAATATCTCTTAGGACCGACGTAGGAGTATACGGTACGAGAAGGATCTCTACTAGTTGGTATTAACGTACGTACACATACTG